GGTAACTTTAAGTGGAATCTTTCCGTGTTTCCCTGTGCCCTGCCGCACAGCCGCCCTGCAGCGCTGCTGCTGTCAGCGAGCAGCCAGGCCCCAGCCTCGGCAATCCCTCCGTGCCATCTTCCCCGTCCTGTAATTCTGTTCCAGGCAGCTGGCCGGAGGTTGATCGTCACTTTACATTTAACCCCCCAGGGAAATAATTGGGGCTACTGCATCAAATCCCAGAGCTCCTCAGCAGCCCTTCATGTGCTGCGCTCTGCTGAGAAAAATCTCTGCTCTCGGGGGTCTCCAGCCTGGCACAGACAAAGACGTGGCAGCCGCGTCTCGGTAGAGCCAAGAGCGCAGCAGGCAGGGAGCTGGCAATGAGGAGAGGAAGCTACACTGGAAAAATAGTCGTTCTTTTCCTGTTAATGGTGTATCGAAAGCCAGAAGGCTCCGCTGGCAGGTGGACTGCTGCAGTTCACTGCTTCTGGCTTTCTCCGGAAATGCCCACATTTAAACTCTTCACTAAATCTTGAGAACTTTGCAGCGCGAGGTTCCGCTGCTTGCAATCGTTGAAATGGAGTGTTTTCATAGTATTTCATCCTTAAAAGCCCCAGTTTTTTAAATAAGCAAGTCTTGTCTTTGATAGGCCTTTCAGAAATATTGGGGGCCAGGGAGTGTCTAACGGACTTGGTTTTTCTTAGGGTGTTCCACTGTAATCTTAATCTTCAGTAAAGCTTATTTGTGGACTGAGATTTGAGCCTTTAATTGGTCTTATTTTGTGTGTGAATTATGTACACATTAAGTTTGTTACTCATGATTATGCTAATTATTAAAATTATCCTATGTATTCTATTGTGTGCTTTGTTTACTTTTTTTACTGTTTGTGTAACTACATATACTGGAGTATTTGTTTAGTCAGCTATATTTGAGCTATTTTTTAACTAATGGGAACCTTTGTGTGCTTTTCTAAAAAAATGGATGCATGTTTTGTTGTTTTAACTGGCTTGCAATGTCTGAAAACTGCTTTTGGTTGAGTCAAAATATAGCCAAGACAAACTCATTCTGGCCAAATTGCATCTGCTTGACCTGACACTGAGATTTCACAGCTGAAATCCGTGTGCCCTACATACACTGCGTAGTCAAACTTGGCGAGGTGGTAGGAGACAGTAAAAGCAAAGGTGGCACGACTCCACTAAGCTTTGCTAAATTTGATACTGCTCACCGTTGATGTTCTTTGAGCCCAAGCCAGTGTACAAGCCCTGGTCTCTGTGGTGTTTGATCATGACAGAGGGCTTTACCGTTTTCCTGGCTGGGCATAAGTGCTTTGTGTAGACTCTTCAATGTTTCTTTTGCCATGAACAACTTTTACACTTTATTTTGTGAAATACAACGAATAAAAAGATAGCATTGTTTATCTCCGAGACTTCACTGAGAGGTGTCACTCAAGGTAGACTGTGCAAAACTGATTCCTGTCTTCTGTGTTGCTCAGTAGAGCATATAATTAATTGCAGTAACATTTGACACTTCATGAGACTCATAGTTTGGGTAGGCTCATACCTCTCTGGCTATGAGAGGTATGTTCTAGGCGTGGGCAATTTTTGCTGTTATTCGTATTTTTTTTGGCTTGCGCTTTTTGCAGCTGCCTTCCTCCTGAGGAGCTCAGGGTTGGTTTGTTTTTTAGCTCTAGAGTTCATACTGTGAAGCACAGGGTGGAAGCTGGAGTTAGTTATGACTCCCCCATCCTGCCACATTTCATATGAAAGTCCTCTTGGACTGAGAGTTTGCATTAGTAAAGTTCTCTGAGTGCTTGCCACTGTTACGTTTTCACTTAGTAGAAATAGCAACAGCAGCAAGGATGATGCATTAAAGCAGCGTAATTTGCATTAGCACAGTCAGCTGTCAGCCCTGGTCTTTGCAGCGCGTTGTGGATACCAACTTGATGTACCTGGTATCTCTGTGATGTACTGATTTTTGTGTGGGTCTGTTTTAGGAGAATGTGTTTATTGGTCAATCCAAAATCTACAGCTACCTGAATCCTAACAAAACTCCTGGTGCTCGCCCCCCGCTTCAAGAAGAAAACTCTGTCATGTATCACGAGGTGAAATGTCAGGGCAAAACACTAAACGAACCCTACAAGAAAGGAGATGGTAAGATTGATCTTTGGATTGCTTGCCTCATTAAATGTGTTCCCCCCACCCCCAGTTTGAAAACTTTAATACACAGTCAAGAAGGCCAAGCAGCTCCCCTGGCCCAGTTGCTTTTCCAATCCTACAACTCTATCGGCAAACTGGGACTCTACAAAGATGAGAGTGTCCTTCTCCTTTTCAAAACTTAGGTCACAGGTTTACCAAGCAATTCTTCCTCTGTTTTTTGTCTGGCTATGTTTGTATTGTCTCGCTGGATATAAAAAGCTAATGCTTGCATTGTCGATATGCCCTAATCTCCCTGCAATTCTATTACTGCTCTGATTCTTCAGGTCAGTGTTTGGCAGTTTATCTAATTATTTTTTTGTCTGTTTTATTACCTAAAACTGGATTATTCTATAATTTGACTACTTTATACTAATTTATATAAAGCCAATTCCAAGTCAAATCAGGTATGAGGTAGAGGTACCGGTAGAAGAAGAAACAGTTCTTAAATTTTCAGGATGAAATAAAGGTGGTGAGAAGGAGGAGCACAGATTGTGGATGCTGAGTGCCAGGCTTCATAGACGCTTCATTGTAGTGATTAGAAATGGGAATGTTCCATAAGTTTATGGAGGGGGAAAAAAAAAAGCTGGCTTGTGTTTAAAGGTGCATTTAATAACCTTGGTAATTTGTCAAAACATTTTGATGCAAACACTTTTAGCAAGCAGGTATTTTAAGTCCCACTCAACACAGGGACTGTCGGATTTTCTGGAAACTTAGGGCCTTTAACTCCTAATTTAGCTCTCCAGTTTTGACAAGAAAGTGAAGATGGCTTTAGCTTGTCCCACTGCTGCGGCCTTGCCAGCTGTACTTCATTTCTCCAGTGAGATTGGAGCATCTGTCTCAGCAGATGGGACTATTAAACCTGGTGATTTGCTTTAAATAAAATCTTTATTCAGCTTTAAGCTATGCTCACCTACCTCTGAATCAGTTGGCTCAGAAGGAGGATGTGGTCATATCAAGGTAGGATGCATGCAACCAAGAAGATGTTGGTTGTGCGGGGGCTAGACTTCTTGTATGTCCCAGCCCTTTAGCTCCTGTGGATTTTGTCTGAGTGGTGTTGGCCACTTGGTACCAGCGTCTGCGGCCACTGATCACAGCAGTGCAGGATCCAGAGAGGCTTCCTCTCCCTCTTCAGTGCAGGATGTTGATTAGCTTGCGGCAGCTTGATAACTTGGCATGCCAGATGCAAAGTGCAGTTGTTTCAAACATTGCACTGAAGGTGCTGCATGTTCAGGTTTGGAAAACTCATGAGTCACAAACCTAACATAACAAAGTACTTGGGCTCTGTTTTACCCTTTCTCTTTCTCTGCTCACCCCTCCCTCTATATGTGTACTGTAGCAATGACTAGTCAAAAGTTGAGTAACAACCTATCTGGGTTATAGCAGAAAGAGATTGTATCATTCCCTTCCTCTTTCTCCTGTTCGACAGAACTAAAAACTTGGACTAGAAACCATTGGAATTCATTTAAAGCACTCTGGTATAGATGATCCTAAGTTCAGAGCCTTACTTTATTTTCCTGTCATCAGAAAAAAAGAATGGTGGCAATATAGTTGAAGGTGCTATGAAACCAGAAGACCAGAAAGATAAAGCAAGTGGGTGCAATACTTCAGTGCCCTCCTCTGATCAAAACCAAGAAACTGTAGAAACCCAAAAGACACCCCTGCCTTCAGACTGCGCTGATGAGGCCAATGCAAAGCCAGCTCAGAAAAAGATGGTTAAAGCAAAACGTGGACCAAGGAGAAAGTAAGTGACTTTTGGAATTGTAAAAGCTTTTCCTCTGTGTGTCCTTTTGCACCAGGAGGCTTTGATCTGCATTTTTTCTTCAGGAACTACAGTCAGACCTGTAATTAATGTTACTCTTGTTTTGTTGCCTTTTTTTAAGCAAATGGTATGTTGGGGGGAACAAATCTTGAAGGAGACTTCTTTGTTTTCTGAAGAATAATATGTTTGAAAATACAAAATAGCACCCAAAGTATTAATTTACCTTGCAGAGGCCTATGTTTTTCTTGAAAGCAAGGTGAAATACTTGCTGATCACCTGTGGAAAAAGAAATTAATGAGCCATTAAGACCTACTTTTCTGTGGACAAATGGGAATGTATCTTGTCAGAAACAGAATATTAGATCTATTACAGGTGGAGGCTTCCTGGCTGAGCTGATACTCTTTCTCATGATATCAGAGTAATGTGACCTAACATTAATGAATTCCTTGCCAAGCAGTTGGCATGACCTAAATTTTAGAGTGCCTTCTGGCAAGGCACACAGAGGGCTTCAGGCTTGTAGTGTGACCTTCAGTTGGTTTCCAATGGCATCTCATTCTTATTGTTAAAGAATTAGTACTAGAGTAATGGAAATAGCATGGGGAAGAAAAGGGGATGTAGTTTTTGGCTTGAAGTGAAGAGTACTGATAAGAAACACTGATTCATATTGATCACCTTTCAACATACCAAGCTGAAAATAAAAATTTCTCATAGATACCTCTGTGCTAGAGGTGTAACTTCACAAATAGTCTGAAATATGTGTGTTCTCTATTTTTCTTGTCCCTTAGAACGCAAGGAAGAACACCAAATCGAAAAGTGACAGATTATTACCCAGTTAGAAGAAGTTCCAGGAAGAGCAAATCTGAATTGGAGGTAGTACTTCTTGTTAAAATAACATTACTTACAATGTTGCTGGTTAATTGAATGTTTGAGGAAGTGCGTAACTATCTGTAAATGGTTTCCATTGGCCAAATACAAATAGCATTGTGCACTGGAAGTATTGTTAAGAACATTCTTAAAATTTGGAAATGCTGAACCAGTTCTTCTAGGACAGAATCTAGCTGCTTATATATTTTGGGGGACGGAAATCTGTCTCTCTACCATTCAGTTTTGCTAGAAATATGGGATGGTTTGGAAAAATGAGTGTCACTGGCTAATCATTTCCTTTCAGCTATAGAATAAGCTACGAAAACTATCAACAATACTGTGGTTTTGTTTGTTGTTGTTTCTTCTGCAGACTGAGGAGAGGAGGAAAATAGATGAGCTAATTACAAGTGGCAAAGAGGAAGGAATGAAGGTAACTGCAATGCCAACCTCAGTAGCCATGTACTGTTTATACAGTATCTTGCTGTTAATCTGTTCACACAGAAAGGACCAGAACTCAGTCTCAGAACTGCTGCAGTTCCTCGATAGTAAGATGAAAGTGCAGCAAAACTGGAGCACACTGTCGTTCCTTTTGGATCGGCAATATTTGGCTCTGAAGAATATGTATATGCAACCTCAGTCATAAATATCGAGGGGGCTTTATAGTCTATACTGAAAATGCACTTGCTCCCTTTAGTATCTCATTTCTTGGGTTAGCTTCTAGACAGGGGGTTAGATACAGCATCTTAATTGTCATATGTTTTAAAGGTAACACCTATATATACTGTCTGTATGGTAACAAATTCTCTTAGCCTGTTTACAGCCAGTCGCTGTGGGGTCTTCATTATGGCACTTGGGATAATGGGTTGCACTGGTTTTCCTCCCACGGGGAGCAAATTCTAGTTATTGGGACCCAAGTGCTTACCATTTGGGTTACTCTGATCACCCTTTTTAGAATTTAAAGCAGAAACGGCTCCTGGAAGGGGAAAAGAGCTGTGATTCTTGAAAAGCAGCAGCCTGCAGTTAACACTGTCACATCTCCGACAGTGATAAGAGAACTTTCTTGGAGTTGTCCAATTTACAGGGGGAGGCAGGAATAATAAAGTATACTGGTGGGTGATAAATGTAATTTCTGTGATCAGTCTTTCTGTTCCTCTAACTTTTTAACCTGTGCATGCTAATGGTGATGGTGCATCTGAAATGGAAAAGCTTACTGCCTCAGCTAATAGGTAGTTTAAAAGAAAAAATAGATAACTCTTCTCTGTGTATGGTTTTTTTAAAGTAATTCTTAGTTCTTTGATTAGAAGACTTTGTATCAAAATACCTGGTAACTCGTAGGGTGTGTCCTAAACTCATTCTGTATTTCTTCCACAATGCTGTGCGTTGTGTCATTTTTAATGGCAAATCACTCATTTCCTAGTAAACACCATATTTGCAATCATGTAAATACTTTTTAATTTCCCAGCTGATTTTCTTTTCAACTCAACAGATTGATTACATTGATGGCAAAGGGAGAGGAGTAATCGCTACTAAACATTTTAATCGAGGAGAATTTGTAGTTGAATATCATGGGGATCTCATAGAGATCACTGATGCTAAAAAGCGAGAAGCTGTGTATGCTCAAGATCCATCCACAGGCTGCTATATGTACTATTTTCAGTACCTCAGCAAAACGTACTGGTAAGCTTCTCTTCCCTTAAGTGTGATAGCTGAGTGATAGAGGCTTTGAATGCTGCTAAGTCTTTTCTTGTCTTTGTGCAAAATTTTTTTTAATGGGAACCATGAATTAGGAAATCTTTTTGGAGCACTGTTTCATGGTCTAAGAGCCTCCTGTACCTCTGGGCTAAAAGGAATGGTAGGTGACTCAAAGCCCTGTTCTCTGAAGTACAGCACAAGCTATATGGAGAGTTGTATCTGTTTGGATGAGGCTTCCAGCTCTGCCATGGACTTCTGCCTAATTTATTCTCTTGTAAAATTAACTACCTTTCCTGAGTTGCAAGGATTTTGTTTGAAAAACACTATGGACAAATTCACTGGAAGAGAAACATTCAACTCTCTGACTGGGTCTCCTTTCTCCAGTACCTGACACTCGCCCCGTGTGCATGCTTTATCCCTCTGTTTGCTGCGTCATTTGCCCCAAACTCCAGTTCTCTCAAAGCAACTACTCGGACTAAGTTCTTTCCTCCTTGGCTGATGTTACTGGACACTGGAGTGTGGGTCACTTAACCTGTGTATTAATTACCTTGAAGCACCCTATATTCTAAGTGTCTGACTTGCAGTCTAGATGCCATAATGACAGCAGCCATAACAATTCTTTGTGCAATGAGGAGCACTAGAGCTTTAGTATCCAGGTCGCTGGAACTTGGGCATGTAGTATTTAGGCATTCTCAGCCTTCTGTGTGAGTAGAGACTCTTGCTGGCTTACTCAGTGGGTACTACTTAGCTTGGACACATCTTTCTTGAGGGGAGGGTGTTTACATCTTCTCGTGGTGTTCTACATCTGGATTTTGCTGTTCCTCATGAACAGTTGAGAGCTGCTTGGAAACACGCAGCTCAAAAACATAGTCCAAAATTCTCCATTTTCTCGGTTTTGTGCTAACTTAATCTCCCAGAATTGCTTTAGTTTGCCTACGTTGCCATATTATGTGCTGTCTGTTTAATCATATGAATATTCTGTAATGTTCTGTTTTTCCTTCATTTTTCAAGCCTTGTGTGGATTCGTCATTCTTTCAGATTTGCGCTTTGGTTTTGGTCCACAAACGTGACTGCGTGATATGCAGCAATCCTGCATTCTGTTCTTGTTCTTTCAGTGTTGATGCTACAAAAGAAACTAATCGTCTGGGAAGACTGATTAATCACAGCAAATGTGGCAATTGTCAAACAAAGCTTCATGACATTGATGGTGTGCCTCATCTCATACTGATAGCTTCCAGAGACATTAAAGCAGGTGAAGAACTGTTGTACGACTATGGAGACAGAAGCAAAGCTTCCATTGAAGCTCATCCATGGCTGAAACACTAATTCATCTTCTTTGTTTGTGTTTTGTTTTTTTTTTTTTTGGACTGAGGGCTCTACAAGGGGTCAGTGGATTTTTTTTTTTTCCCCTCCCCCGTCCTCACTTCCCTCAGCTTTCTTAGTGGACTGCTTATGGTGTTCTGAGCTCCTTAAAAACTACCTTTTTGCTTTGCAGTATTTAAATACCTATTACAGTTTTCCAGGCAGGCTTGAATAATTGATCTTAGATTGCCAAAACTTTTATATCGTAAAGGAAACCCTCCCTAAATTTGAATATTTCTGCATAGTGACCAGTGCCACTTGAGCATGCAGTCAAAGACTTGCACAGAAACTTAATCACTTGGGTTGTGCTTCTGCTTTTGCAATGAAATCTCATGCTCCACTTTGTGGGGTGATGAACTTGGCATTAGCTTTATGACGGCAGATGTACTTCTGTACTTGACTCGTACATCCAATGGCTTGACTGCTTGTCAGACTGCTTTTTACAACCCAGTGCTGACAGGCTTCTCTGAGATGGATGCTACTATCGTTCTCAAATAATTTGTGGCAGGGATCCAGTTTTTCCAGTGTCGTATCTCATGTTGGCAATGAACTTTAAATGCAGTGGTGCTGAGGGAAATGGATGGTCAAATTGGCCGCTTTCTTCAGAGAAAGGAGTCCAAGCCAAAGGAGGATGGATTTTGATAGACTGGGTTAATACTGATCAGAAGTGTGAAGATAGACCTTCACAGTGAGAATCAATGTTTGACATTACTTATTTTCTAAAATTTAAGATGGTACCTTTTTATAGTTGATGGCTGATTCTTGGAGGTGTGTCCCAGAGGATTTTAAAGAAGTAAAAGAAAAAGCTCGCTCCAAAAAATTTTTTATTACCTTCCTACGCTAATTAGCCACATCAAGAAGCTATTTATTTACTGTGAATGCTTGAAGTAGAGCATAGCGGTTCCAAAAATAGGAGTCATCTTCATATGCAGCTTCGAACTGTAATGATGGAGTTCATGCAATGAAGAAAGTAGATTCCTTATTGCCTGGTCCTGTAGGTCTGTGCAGCATGGTCTGGTCCCACTGTCTGAAATGGGAGTTGAGCGCTTAGCATCTTGTGGATGTTTGGAGATGTTACTGTTGGAGAACCAAATCTGTGATATAGGCAGGCAATACAATGCAGGTCCTTTATGTTAAAGATGAATTCTTACCAGTTGGAATTTTTGCCAAGGCAGGCTTGGCATGTGTGTAGATGAAAATGGCTGTGAGCCATCAGCCACGCTTGCTGCTGGAAGATGTCAGCAAGGGATCTGTGGCTCTGTTAATGTCTTCTGTTCCTCATGTCTTGAAGGCTGCTGCTGTTCCAGCTAATGCCCTCTAGGACAATCTTATATGCTTGCCTATGTGATAGGTCAAATAGCAACAACATCCTGGTTGTATGCTCCAGCAGCAAGAGAGGTGGCTTAGTGATGTATTTTTTAAATTAAAAACTTGAAGACAATGTCTCTGTAAAATAAAGAATATATTTATTATTGATGAAGTGGCTGCTATAGTACCTGTCTCCATTGCAGATCATTAGCATTTTGAAAGCAAGCTGTGAAAATCATTAGCCATTAAGTGCTTTATATTATTTACCCCTTAACACAAGGCAAGCTCATCAGAGACAGCCTGTGTATTTTCACCATTTCTGAACTATTAACTGGAGACCTGTTACCTTACATGTACTGAGTTACAGGTAAGCTTCGTTGGCTGACTTAATTTAGTTGGCACTGACTTTTCTGTGGTCTCAGTAACAGAGACTACAGCAGTGTGTACAGTATCCTGTTTTACTAGAGCACTTCCCTTAAGTCAAAATTGGAATAAAATGCTTCTTTTTGCGGTTTTTTTTTTATTTAAACATTTGCTTGTTCTCTATCAGGTCAAGTAGCTTAAAACCTCTGTTCTTCAGCATCGCTTTTGTAAACAAGGGGGAAGATCTCTCCCTATTTTACATAAAAAGAAAATTGTCTTCTCTGAAACACTTAACTGGTAATCACGTAGCACTGCATCGGAAGATGGTAATAAAGCTGATGTTGCACTGCGTATGTATCCTTTACTTTTCTAGGAACTGATGTACATACATCATATATATATCAAAATACTTTTGACAGAAACATGCCATTTGGATTTCTATCTCTGTGCCTTACAAGAAAGTTTCATCTTCTAACAAGATATAAAGCACTTAGCAGGGAAAGATGCCCTTGGGTTGGGAGCTAAACTGCTTCTGTCAGGCCAGAGGCAGCGGGGTTGCTCTAACAGGACTGTAGCCTCTTCTGTTGTAGCCATAGCCAAGGGATTTTCTCCCCTTTTGAGAGAGAAGCTGTACAGCTCCCTTGGCACCAGAGTGGATGCAACTGGGTTGCTCTAACAGGACTGTAGCCTCTTCTGTTGTAGCCATAGCCAAGGGATTTTCTCCCCTTTCGAGAGAGAAGCTGTGCAGTTCCCTTGGCACCAGAGTGGATGCAACCGTGATGGTTCCAGAAAAAGACTAGCCCAAAAAGGTTGAGGTGCTCTCTTGTCCACTGTAACTGGTAGACTTCCATCTCTTTTTTTTTTTTTTTTTTAATAAAGAACATCTTAAATAGTCAACTGAAAAGAATAATTGCAGCTTTCATTATTGTCTTCAACTAACTGCATAGAGTGGTCTAGGGCTATGTTAGTCTTCTGTGCCTCAGTGGCAGGTTGTTAACTTTTACACAGCTCTGTTTAATCTGTGCAGTTTATTACCTGAAGTTGTTTCATTAAGACTTAGTAGAGTGATTAGTCTGTTTTGGGGCATAATTCCCCTTTCCCGCCTCCTTTTTAAAGGAGATTGAAAAATATATCCTTGGATAAACTACAGAAGGGGATGGAATTCAGAGCACATGTAAACATCTCTTCTCAGCTCAGAGGTGTATCCTGGCTTTTGCTGATGCATGATTGTTTGGTCAGTTTTTTTTTCTCTAAACATGGAAATGCAGTAACTTCCTTCCCTGCCACCATGCTCTAGAAAATAAGTTGCGGGGACGTGGCCAAGGCTTATTAATATTTTGAAGATGGCAGAATGACTTTTGCAGTTCTGTGCCCTGGCTAAATAAACCAACTAGGTCAGACATCTTTGATGTTGCCTTGCTAACGTACAGTTGCTAACAAATTCTCTCTGAAAGGAGACTGCAGTTCTGCCTTCTGCTAAGCCGCATTCGCATTGTGCATCTGAGCAGATGTGTGAAGTGTCCTATATTTTTCATGCTGCTAGTGCATGAGAGGGAATCAAAAGGTTTCAGAGCCTGCTTTCACTTCTGAAGAGAGTAAGATCATAGTTTGATACCTGTCACTGCTCCTTTTATGTCTGTTCAGACTTTTCTGCTCTTTAAATTCTACTTTTCTAAATGTGGAACCTAATTGGTATATTTAAAGCTTCTTTTCTAGTCCTCTGTTTGCCCTATATGCTTCCATTAGTGATAAATCTCATTAGCTGGGCTAATACACAGCTTGTGACAGTTGATGGAAAGAACAGAGCTTATGAAAAATACAACTGTCTATCACAGGAGACCTTTAGCTGTCAGAAATGAAATGTTTGGTGCATCTGTTCCAGTTTGAGCATGTTTGCACCTCTGAAAAGGCATCAGCCCTTCCTGTGGGCAGAGCACAATGCAGCAGCTTTTCTTCCCTTCCTGTGCTCTTCTCCACCATTTTTCATCTTGGCCACTCCTGTGTGTGCAGGGCTTCTGCTGTCACAGCCCAACTGCATCTTCCCTTGGTGGGGCGGGGTGTGACAGGCTTCTGCCTGCTGCTGCCCATGTATCACCCATCTAATGCAAAGAAAGACACAGAACAAAAAGCAACGCTGGGGTTTTCTTCAAGCATTTCTGTGTTAGTGTAAGATAATTACTTTCTGCATGAGACCAATCTGAATGGGTTCTTCCTTCCCAGCACTTCTCTATGAATGCACTTGTGAATGGCATGTCTCTCTTAAAAATATCTTCATTTTGCAAAATCATTTGGGCTGAGCATTTTGATAGGTGGACAGGATAAATAAGTGGTAGTACAGATCATCACAGGCTCTTTTAATAAGAATAAAATAAAAATCACCTTTGTATAAACATTTATTCTCTATATGTGGGTAATGTCTGGTCAGAATGTAAGAAATACAAAAAGTGTCTGTCTTAAACAGTTTCTGAAACAGCAAAGTAAAACCTATTCTGAAAGAATATTGTACAACACAATTTTTATGAGATTGCTTATTCTCTACAGCAGGAGTGATGCTTTTTCTTCCAATTACTGACTCCCCTAATGCCTTAGAGGCTCTCATCAGTGCCATTTCTGAACAGAAGTGGTTAAGTTCTCGAGGATGCTCATTTTCCATGTTTAAAAGAGAACCTAAAAAAAAAAAAAGAACAAAAATGAAACAATAATGTACAACTGGAAAAGAAGGAACATGCAGTGAGACAGCCATGTCAATGTGTTCTGCTATTTTGGGGAACTTTAGGGACGCAGCCTGAGCTTGTGGGTACTGCCTACAGCTGCTTCATACAATGTCAAGAAACCTCCAGGGACAGCTGGCATGTTCCCACAGCAGAGTCTTAATGTGCTACCAGGGGAGGCAAGTATCGCATAGTTTTGCTCTGAAATGCTTATTTTTCCTAGAAAAAAAGTGATGCCCTGCTTGCCTCGGTGGAGGTTGTCTTCCTGTGGAGTGCTTTTTCTACAGGAAAGGATTTCTCTATCATGTTTTAATTTTACAGGGAGAGGAGGAGAAAACAATATCCAGCCAACTAGGCCAAAGTTCAGAATTCATCCCTGGATTCACTAAGTATGAAGCATGCCGAATTCTCCCATATTCTGCCAAAAAAGATGCAGACAAACTTACAGCCGTTTGATGATCGTCTTCTCTTCACTGTCCTTGCTGGTGCCAGGGCTGCTGCCACTGGCCTCTTTTTCCAGTTCTTCAGTTTGGTCCCTTCTCTGTGAAATGATCCCACTGGGAAAAGAAGAGGGTTTGTTTATTTTTTGTGGTTTTGTGCATTGCATGGCATCGCTGGTAAACCCTTCACTGGGCAGCCTAGGACGTGGGTGAATGGGTGTTCACAGGACAGGTATGGCAGCCTGGCCTATTTCTTTTAATGAATTGCACTTACTTTCCTTAAATACTGCAGTGTAATTTTGCTTAGGCTATGCTTCAATGAGAACACTAAAAAAGTAACGAGCTGACTTCTCCACAGAGGAAGAATGGCAAATCATAACAGGAGTGAAAGGGAAGTGTATTACATGTTGGATTTGTACAGATAACAGTCGGGTGCAGACACAAATGGTGAATTTCTGCATGGGTGGATCTGTGGTACTTTCAGCGCAGCCATGAAGGCTCACACCACGCAGCTGGGAACAGATGGGAGATTCCCAGCTTCCCTGCAAGGCAGGTGCCTGTTCCTCTTTTTTTCCTATAGAGGAGAAAAGAAAGGCTGTGCCTGAGCTGTAGATTTTGTCATCCTGCTTCGATGCTGCTACACTCTACAAGGTTGTAACCGCCTACTTTAGGCAAAAGCCTCGGTTTTAGGAAAGGATGTTTCCCTTGCTTGGAATCGGGTTAGATTTTACCAGCTTGCATACTACGCTATGTTTTCACAGCATGCCAATTTACTGTCCTGAGCTGACCTCATTTATCTTGAGAGCTGAGTGGATCAAAGCTTGTGACTGCAGTAGCTGAAGGCTGAAAGTAACTAAGCAACACTCGTCTGGACCTTGGAAATAAAAATACAGGGGAGTATCTAGAAACTGGTGTGACATCGGGCATCGGACAGTTCTGAGGCAGATTCTCCTCTTAGAGAAATGGGACTATGAGCTGTTTGGTGACACTGCAGATGTCTAATATCTGCATGATAAGTTCTACTTGGAAATCATGATTAAAAATGCAATCCCCAAACATCATCAGTCATCTTAAGCCATTCTCTGCAAAGATGTCCGTTACCTTGTGCTATATAGAGCTTACTTCCAATATACACGAGACATTTTAGAACATATATTTATCCTCTTCCCCTGCACAACTACTCTTTATGGCCGTACAATTATAATTAGGATTTTATGTGAATGTTTAAAGGGAAGATGGTTTTTGGCTTAAGCTGCAACGCTGTACGAGGCCGATAACCACAGAGAAGTACTTGAACTGAAAAGCAGCCTTGACAGGCTCCCAGGTGCTCAGCACTGTGATTTATATCACTCAAAACCTGAAAACATTCACACTGTTAATTTTTAACTTGGCCTGTAATAAGCTGTGTAACACAGCTGGGAAATCAAAGCAAGAAGCCATTCCAATGGCCGCACAGCAAAGGCAGGCAGCGGAGCTGGGGAAGCGATGCCCCACTGTGCTGTGAGAAGTGCTGTCGAGCAGTTTGTAAACTGACTTCTTGGATTTAACTTTAACTTCTTGGTTTAACCTGCCTGTTATAGACAAAGCAAAGGGCGGGCTTACTGTATCTAAGAGGTTGTTGCTGAGATACCTCAACTGAAATCTAATGTGCTCAGATATTTTGTGTCTAGGTTAAGAAGTAGTTTCTTGCCCCAAAGAGTTTATAATACAGCCTGATGATGAGGGGCAGAGGTTGGGGGAGAGCAGCCTTGGAGCTGAACCAATTTGTAGCACCAAGAGCAAGGCCCTTTCTGCATCCCACCCTTTGGCTCACATTGATTTTCGCAGGCTGTCTAGGAAAGACCAAAATCCTTCTCCGAAAGGACTTGTTTTGCTTCAAGTGCCTTCACAACCCTCTGTTGGCAGTGTTAAAAAACCCCCCACAGCTTATCTTGAATGATGATGAAAGGGCTTTATATTCTGCTTTCTAGATCAATGCCATACCCACTGTGGGAGCAAAGGAACAGTAGATAAACTAGCGTCCCCGAAGGCAAGCTGGAGGAGGAAGGAAATTTTGACTAAAGCTGAGATGGAAACCCCCGTGCTCTTTGGTATGTAGCGTGGCTTTAGACAAGAACAGTACGTATGCAGCTGCTGTGACTGCATAGATGAATTCATGTGCATGAGAACCCAGCTTGTGTGTGGAGTGGGAGTAACCGTATATAGGCTTATAGCGGTACGATTATGGGAGCAGGCTGCGAGCTGCACAAGAATAAGAGGGAGTTTAGTTTTAAAATTATGTTGCATAGAGGCTTCATCGTTCCCCCATTTTTGTTTGCTCTTTTGTAGGCTCTTGGGAGCACAGATGTCTCTTGTATGTTTGGACAGTGCCTAACCCAATCTAGGTACTTAAACCTGCAATACTCTGATCTGGTAAGCTCCCCAGACAAGAAGTAATTGTTACTACTTCTTTGCTGACTTCACAATATACCTCTTATAGCACTGTAGCTCCTCTTGCACCACAAGAAGTTGAGCTTTCAGCTGGTTACGCTCTTGCAATACATCTCGCAGCTCCTGTAATGTGAACCGGGGACGATTTGGATCTGTGAGGTCTATTACCATTTTATCTGGTCCAAGGCGGAACTGTAAAATAAACGATGGTGGTCATGATCTTGTAACCTGTCAAAAACAGGGCACTCAGAGTAAAAATTCTGAATTTTATAAATATGTAGTAATTCTTAGAACTAGTATGAGTTCATCACAATCCTGATTTTTTCCAAGCAGTTAATTATAGTTTTTCATATTATTTTTGTATTCCCTTGGTGTCTGCATTTCCCAGCCAAGTATAAGGCCCAACTGTGACAGGCTCTGACCACAGATAAAATCAAAGTCTCTGTCCCAAAGAGTTTGCAATCTAGTTTGCCAAGAAGCTGCTTTCATCTGCTTTCCTGATGATGAGAGAGGCTGAGCAACCTGTCTAACATCACACCAAAACTCTGTGGCAGAGAGAGGTGAGAACTGAATTCTCCTTTCCCAATTTAAGACCTTTGTGGTAATGGCTTTTTCGGTCACAGTCATCAGTTTCCTTTGCACAGAGTAACAGAGCTTTAGCATTTGCATAAATGGCAAATCGTCTTTATGGGGACGGTGCTGTGTAAGAGCTGTACAACGCTGGATTTGTATTCTCTGAAAATCTGCCCCTGTGTGTCCGAACTCCTGTTAGCACTGCACGTTGCTGAGCTAAAAGCGTGGTTAGTCACTAAAGTGAAACAGGAGTGAGGGACCCACTGCGCTGCGACTTGTAACAGCCCTGAAGATCTCTGCTCTGGAAATGGCTTCAAGACCACCTACAAAAATGAGAAGCAAACTTTCCGAGACTCGTTCTGCTGTGATAAAAGAGACCGGCGACTGCGGCAAAAGTATCCTCCGACACATCTGGTGTTAGGGTGGGTTTCACGACCCGCACGTGGCCGAGCAGACAGCCACGACCCATGTCGGGGAAGGGACCTCTGGCGCATGTTCCACCTCGCAGCTGCCGACCCCA